TCTTTAAGTTTATTTTCTGGAGATTTTTCTCATCCTTTCTGAGATGCCTTGTCACCTTGGTTGCTCTTAATGTTTAATGGATTATATCTCCACCTAGGCATTAATGGAAGTATATTCTGCTATTTTTCCAGAAAGAAGTTTTATCATATAAAGGTCTCTCTTTAGGCTGTTGCAAAGAAGGCGCTTTTTTCATTTGGTTTCCAGTAGGTGGCATCTAAGCCTCTTGGATCTCTGCTTTATATAAAGTTTAAATAATGCCTTTTTAAAAATTTTTCTTGTAGATATTTAATCGCGCTTGCTACTCTCAGTTTCAGTTCCTGTCAGTGTCGGCGACAGTCTCAGCAGTGTTTGCTCAGATTTCCCTGGGGCTCCACAGTGATTGGTCTTGGAGGTTATGGGGGAAGGATCCTCTGGGTTGAAAGTTGGGGGCTGCGGCTCATCTTTGGTTTTGCAACTGGGGCCAGTAAAAATCAACCGTTGTTTCTCTGCGGTCCAGTCCTGCTTTTCTTTCTTCTGCCCTGATGACTGGGCCCTTCCATTCAGCGCGGGGAGCTCACAGCAGTCCCAAGCAGGCTGATCAGGGAAGTCGTCACACCTTCATCCTTCCCACTCCTCCTGCAGGTAGCTCCGGTGGCTGTGAGGGGCAGCTTCTTTATTTCTCCCAGACCACCTCCAGATACCCGGGGGTCTGACCTGTGGTAGCTCTTATGCGCAGATTCCACGCTCAGACATGCTGGTGTGTAGTTCAGGTGTTTTTTGTTAAATTTTAGATGTTCGGTTTGTTGTTGTTTCAAAGGAAGAGAACTGGGGATGTCTCTTACTCCACCATGTTTCTGCAAAAGTTCTATATCCTTATGTTTTAAAGTGTCTCTTGTGAACAGTTTACAGTTGGATTTTCCCCCCCAATCTCAAAATCTTCATCTTTTAACTTAAACATTTAATCTACTTACATTTCATGTATTTACTGATATATTTGGATTTAAATCTATTTTTTGCTTTCAATTTTACTTGTTTTTTTCTTCTTTCTTTCCTCTCTTTGGATTTGTTGATTTTTTAAGACTTCATTTTTCCTTTATTAATTTAGAAGTTATACAGCCTATTTCCATTCTCTTATTGTTTATCCTAAAATTTTCACCATGACTTTTAGCTTACCAAAGCTTACTATTAATCAATACTTTTAACTTCTTCCATGACATTTACCTAACTCCTGACTTTTATTCATTTGTCATCATGTATTTTAACTATATTTTAAATCTCAACAAAATAGTTTTACATAGTAAATGTACATTTACAATTATCCAAATATTTACCCTTTTGTTTTTCACTTGCATTTCTGACCTTCTGTCTGGAATAATTTTCCATCTACTTGAAGTACATCCTTTGGAATTTCATTTTGCTTAAGTATGCTAATGCAAAAGTCTTTTAGTATGGTTGTCTGAGATTTTTTAATTTTATTCTTTTTTCAGTAGAAAAATTATTAAAAGAAAGTGGAAATGACCCAGATGTCCATGAATAGAATAGGTTAAATAAATTGTGATAGAACCAGAAAATAAAATAAGACAATGTAAAAAAACAAGCCACTGATAAGAGACAACATGAATATATCTCACAGATATAATATCAAATAAAAGAAGCCAGAAAATATGTACTGAGCATGTATTGCATATTCCATTTATATAAAGTTCAGAAACAGGCAAAATGAATATGTAATATTAGCATAAGGACAGTGGTAACCTTTGGTGGCAGATGGACTGCAAGAGAACATGAGGAAGGATGCAGGATACTATTTACCAGGTGTGCTCAGTGTGGTATATTCACTGAGCTGCACACATTTATTTGTGCTCTTTTCTCTCTGAATGCTTCAATGAGAGTAACACAGAGAAATCAACAGAAGAAGTTAACTAGGTAGGTCAAAATGTTACCAGTTAAGTGTCAGAAAAGCAGGTTTGACACTGTAGATCCCAGCATGCTTCCCAAATCTGGCACAGAATTTGAATAAACACCTCTATTGTTGACATTGAGCACTAAATGCAGCTGTTGGCTTGTGAAAGCCTCTGCGTGGGATACGCAGGTAGCACAATCTGACACTGGATTATTTACGTACTTGTTTATTTCTTGTCTTCCCCAACTAGCACGTGATCCCACTGCAGGCATACAGTAAACGCTCAACGAATACTTATTAGATGTGTTTACCTTTATATCCTTTCAAAATTGAGCAAAATTCGCATTCTTGCAGATACATTCTTCACCGTTATTCTTTAAAGATATTTTTGCTGAGTATGGAACTTAGATTGACAGTTGATTTCTTCCAGTACATTGGAGATACCTTTCCACTAGCTTTTGGCTTCTACTGTCACATTTTAGAAGGGAGCTGTCAATCTAACTATTTTCAGGATATGTTTATTTTTTCTGGCTGCTTTTTACAACTGAAGGGATGCAAGCCCAAATAGCAAAAGCACAATGGCTAATTTACTTACAGTTCATCTTTACCCTATAGGGGTTATGCTTTAGGATCCTCCCTTAAATTTAGGACTCGTTTCTCAGATTCTCTGCCTTGGTTGAGCCTGGGTTTTGACATATAATTCCCTGACCCTGTGAAGGTCCCCAAGACACATAGCAATTTCACAGCAGCTTACTTAATACCAGAAAATATTTTCCAGGTAAATGGGGTTTTATGTGCTTAGCTTAACCTTTTTTGGTACAGGACTTATCAAAGATTTTTAGACTGATAATTTCTTGTTTGCTCTTTACTGTTTTCAAGCAAGATCTCTGTTTTTACTATGTTGTTCAGCTTTTTTAGTAGCTCTCACTGGAATGTTGGCTTTAGTTTGCTAACTTGCTACTACTAGAATATCTGAAGCCTCTTCATTCTTTTATAGAACTGCATAAACTTTCATTATATATATCTACCAGAATTTATTTAATCAATCTCATACTGAAAAAGCTGTTTCCAATCTTTTGCTGTTTGAATCAATGCTAGAATGAATAACCTTACATATATTTCATTTCACATGAAGACATTGTATTTCTTTCATTTTTATATCCCTAGCCTCTGAATGTTGCCTAGCACATAAGTGCTCAGAAACACTTGTTGAATATATGCAAGCAGAATGAAATGGCAGTTTTGCTGATCTAATCTCATATATATTTTTTGTCTTTGATAATACTTATCAGCTGCCTTTATCCTATCCATTAGTGGGATCTGATAGCCAAAAGAGATGCCATTTTATCTGATACCATTTTGGCTCTGTTTCTATGTTTTCGTGTCCTTTTCCTTCATAGGTCACAAAAGAAGAAGAGACACCCCGTGGATAACTTCAGGTCAGACTTCATTCAGACCACTAAGAGAAGCAGAGTGACTCTTAAATTTATCCAACACCGGACTTGCATTTTGGAAACAGAAAATCATGGGTGTAAGAAAGAATGGAGTTGGGACAGATTGAAAGACAGATGGATGAACACGCACAGAGCTTTGCAAACTGAATTAATCAGAAAAGGTCAGGCTCCTGTCACTGCTTGTTATCTGTCTCTCCTTCTAACATATCTCCCACTAGTGTGTTAGAAGAAATTTCCAGCCTCCTAGAAAGAATTACAACTTAGAACAATTGCTTTTCAGAATGCATGTGACATGGGAAAAGTCAAAAATATCAAACAATCCAAGTTGATTTTCTCTTTGATTTTCCAATACTGATCTTTTTTTATTTCCTGTCACATTTTATATTTCTAAATATTATACCATTTCTGCACATACAAAGCATAAAGTGGAGAAAGGCTTGGGAATTACATAGTTTGTTTTATAAACAGAGCCTGTAATCGGAATCTGGGCCCAAAAGTTATTCTTTTGACTTCAAATTTTCTAAACTGTCAAAAATAATCAAGGAAACCAGATCATCTGTTTATATTTTTTAAATCACCAGAGTATTGATTTTCACAAATGTGCCTTTTGCTCATCTAGGTCCCAAATATAATTTCAAGTGGTATCAAGAGGGACTAGAACATTATGTATCAAAAACACAGCTGCTTAAGTACAAAAAAAAAAAAAAAAAAAAAAAAAGAAAAAAAAAAAAAAAAAAGCAGCAATAGAATAAAGAGACGGTTCTCTACAAAGGAATAAAAGTACCCTACTGACAAGCATTAGCTACACAGGACAGTGGGTGCTTTGGGGATGTTAAAAAAAAGGCCAGGATTCTCTCCCTATGCCAGCAATGAGGATTTCTTTTTGCTGTTGTTTTTCTTTGTTTTTGTCCAAAGGCCAATTCAGGAAAATTTGCAGGCTGGACTTTTTTTCTCATTCAAAATGAAAATAGTTTTATTGCATTCTGTGGGGGGGAAAAAAGCACTCTTCCTAAAAGTTATGATGACAAACAAGATAACAGGCACTGTTTTTAGCACTAACATGCTAACAGGAAGTAGGAAGAAGGCAGGAGGTACTTTTTGCTGTTTCTATCAGGAAAGTTTCGATTTTCGTTCTAGATCACCATTCAGATGACCTTGAATTTCCCAGAGAAAATAACTCTCCAAGTTCATATTTTCTATCCAGCCTAGATAAAATCACAGGATACCTCTAAATATAGGTATACTTTTGTTCCTTAATAGTAGTTTGCAATTTTGTCCAGCTACTAGATGAATTTCAATCTGTATACCTTTATGAGACAATTTACCCTCGAGGTACTCGTGTATGAGTTGCCCAGGGATCCAGCCTTGTATTTTTGTGAACTACATGCCACCTACTCAGACCATAAGCCCCTGACCCCTGCCAAAAAAATCACTCAAACATCTTCCTGGAAAAAAAACAAAACAAAATCTCTGGAAGTAACTACACATCATCTTAAGGAAACACTTTCTATAATGTAGGGGTTCTATAGGAAAAACACCATTCCATTTCCTAATAACTTTCCTTTGACAAATTACCTTTATTCAACTAATATTTATCAAATGCCTGTAACAGCCAACTGTAGTACTCTGAGCTTTTCATTATGAGAATGAAGTTAAATACCCACCCTGGCAAAGTGGTCATTTCCAAGAAGTGTTTGCAAAATAATGGGCAGCTGCTTTTCTAGATGAAGCTTGAGGCAGAGTTGCGTCAGCTCCTCCCGGTCCAGAAAGCCTGTCCCTGTGGTATCACAGCTGCTGTAGACTTCCTTGAGCTGTGAAACATAGTGGTTCTCTTCTTCTTCATCCATCCCATAGCAGGCTGAAAATGCCAGGGGAAAAACAACAACAGTGGTACACAATTACTGTCATACCTCATGCATTCTTCCACTGTTATGATCTCAGGTGATATAGTACAGGTGCAGGGTAGGAGATGTGTGTGTGGGCAAAGGGCATCCATGACTCTCTTAAGTTTAAGTGGGACTGGGAAGAATCAGCTCCACCTTTGCAGGAGAGGCCAGAAACATGCTGCTAGAGAGCTGGTCCTCCTTCGCAAGAACCAGATTTCTTTGTTCACTAAAAAAAAAAAAAAATCTATTACAGAATAATCAGGAAAAAGAGGTAAGCATAAAAAGAAATAAAATCATCTAAAATTTCACCACCTAAAAACTCATTAGTAATACTGTGGCAAATATACATTCTAATTTTTCTCTATACATATACAAGTATGGTTTTTTTCCTTACACATATAAGAAAAAATAAAAACTCCAATAAAAATAGAGGACATCAATAAACAAATCACAAAAGAAAAATATATTGTTAATAACCATCTAAAACTGTTCAAATTAAAACAAAGAGATACTATTTGTGACTGTCATATTATCAAGAATAAAAACTTTCACTACTAACCGAGGCTCCCAGAGAAGGGGAATCTCACAATTCCTGAAGGAAGTGACAATTAAAAAATGTTTCAAGAGGGCATTTTGTCTATATGTCAAAATTTTTTTCAATATTTTAATTACCTGACCTTGTTATTTCACATACATGAAATTCCTTACAGAAGCTCCTTGTACTAAAGGAAACAGTACTATAGACAAAGAGTTCATTGGAGTATTATTTATATAAGGAAACAAAAAGAAAATAACCTAAAATATCCAACAAAAGAAGAGTTTGCTAAATTATAGTGCATTTATATAGTAGACTATGAAAGTCTTGAAAATTACATTTCTTAAGAATAATAGCATAAGAAGTATATTGATAAAATATCAAGGCAGGATAGAAACTGTTTATAATAATAGAGCTAATATTCTTACTGGTCAATATACATATAATAATTCATTTATGGCTCATAACATTTCTATCAAGAAAATTCTGTAACTTTCTATGAGAAAATATATTCAAAAAAGAGCAAAGAAAAAAAGAAAAATACATCAAAATAGTGTGGGATGATTTTGTGGTGCTATATATTTATATTTTCTATTTTACATATTTTTATATTTCTTAAAATTTTATAACAAGCAGAACACTTTATAACCAGAAAAATGGTATTAAAACACAAAAACATTAAGATCCTAAAGATATTAGGATGAACCATATAAATTGCCATTATTTGACCATTTTGACACACAAAAATGGCAATTTCATTATGGTTCAGCCTATTATATAGACACAGGACCTAAGGGACAATTCTAAAAAGAAGAAATATGACAAGTAAACAAACATGGAAAATCAAGCAAGTTCATTAATATTCAATGCACAAACATGAAACAATAAAGCAACAACTTTTACTAATTAGGTATAGCATGCATTCCTTGAATGCCGTAATTATAAAGCTGTAATTTTGAAATGGTCAGTGATGGTCACTCTCCACAGCCCACATGGGGCAGAGATGGGGCTTATCAGCATGAGAACTGCATGAGGGATCAAGCCCTGTTCATATCAACCTCCAAGTGGAAAATGTGCATGCACATCATCTCACTCAGGGAAACAACAGAATTGATGAAATAAAAAAGCTGGCACTGAGTAGAATCTTCGTAGTGATGTTTCACTGCAATTTCAGGTGAGATGGCTCCCCTGAGCTTTTTCCCCCCCAGCTTTATTGAAGTAGAATAGACAATTAGTTGCTCATATTTACAGTGTATAGTTCAAGTAGTTCAGTTGTACAGCATAGTGATTCGAGATCTATATAACTCATGAAGTGGTCGTCACTCCATTAAATCTAGTACCCAGTTTCAGTTGTACAGCATAGTGATTCAAGATCTATATAACTCATGAAGTGGTCACCCCATGAAATCTAGTACCCTTCTTCCCCTTTACATATTTTTTTACAACATCGTTGACTATTTTCCTTATGCTGCACTTTATATCTTCATGACTATTTTGTATCTATCCATTTGTACTTCTTAATCCCTTTGCCCTTTTCACTATCTCCCCAAACCCTCTCCCATTTAGTATCCCTCTAAATATTCTCTGTATCTATGAGTTTATTTCCACTTTTGTTGTTGTTATTTTTTTCTTTATTCCACATGAACGTGAAATCATGCAATATCTGTCTTCCTCTATTTGACTTATTTCATTCAGCACAATAACCTCTAGGTCCATCAAGGCAATATCTTTTTCTATCCCCTTCCTTTTAGTCTGTGTGTGTCTTTTAATCTGAAGCGAGTCTCTTGTAGGCAGCGTATGTAGGGATCTTGTTTTCTTATCCATTCAGCCACCCTATCTTTTGGCTGAAGCACTTAATTCTTTTCCACTTGAGGTATTTGTTGATAGGAATGTAGTTATTACCATTCTTTATTCCTGTTTTGGATACATGTTTTTTCTTCTTAATGAAGTCCTTCCAACATTACCTTGATGCTGATGAATTCCTTTAGATTATTTTTGTCTGGGAAGGTCTTTATCTGTCCTTTGACTCTAAATGATAGCTTTGCTGGGTAAAGTATTCTTGGTTGTAGATTCTGGGCTTTCATCACTTTGAATATTTTGTGCCAGGCCCTTCTGGCCTTCTTTTGAGAAATTAGCTACTTGGGTGATCTTATGAGTGCTCCCTTATAAATAACTAATTGCTTTTCTCTTGCTGCTTTTAAGAGTCTCTCTTTGTCTTTAAAATTTGGCATTTTAATTATCATTTGTCTTGGTGTGACCCTCTTTGGTTTTTTGTTTTTTTGGTTTTTTTTTTGTTTTTTTTTTTTTGGATTTTCTGAGCTTCCTGGGGTTATATGTCTATTTGTTTAACCAGGTTAGGGAAGTTTTCCATCATTATTTCTTCAAATATATATTCAACTTCTTGTTCTCCCTCTTCAGGTATCCCTATGACATGGATATTGTTACCCTCAATTTTGTCCCATAGGCTCCTTAAATTATTATTATACTCTTGGTTACATTTTTCTTGCCATTCTGATTGGGTGTCCTTGGCTTCCCCATCCTCTATATTGGTGGTTTGACCCTCTTCTTCATCCATTGTGTTGACTACCTCTAATATACCCTTCATCTCAGATAATGTATTCTTCATTTCTGACTGGTTCCCTTTTATAGTTTCCATTTCCATTTTTACATTTTTTTACCTCTTTGTTAAAGTTCTCACTGAGTTCATCCAACTTCTCTTAATTTCATTGAGCATCTTTATAACTAATGTTTTGAATTCTGCATTTGTTAGATTGCTTGACTCCACTATTCCTAGATCTCTGTTCTGTTCTTTCATATGGTTTCTGCTTCTTTGTCTTCCCATTTTGGCTGCCTTTCCGTGTCTGTTTCTAAGTACTAAGCAAAGCTCCTAAGTCTCTTGGTCTTATTAGCATGACTTTGTATGGTAGGTGTTCAGCAGCACAGTCCTGAGAGGACAGCTGCAGGACAAGTTCAGCCCCAGGCTGCACCCCTCCAGGACCACCTCTTAAGATTCAGCAAGCAATCCACAGATGCTGTGCTTATAGTTGCCTCAAGAGGCCACGCCAGAAACCAAAGCCAGCTGCCACCAGTGTGAGTCTTGGCACTGCTCAGCAAGTGGCACAGGACTCCCCAGTGACACCACTAGACATGGCTTGGGTAGGGCCGTGAGTTGAGGGAGGTGAAGTTTCAAAGAATTCTCTGGGCGGAGTGTCCTGTTATCCAGTTTGATGACCTCTCAGCTATGGCAGCGGGCTGAGTCCGCACACTGGAAGTGAGGAGGGCTCAACAGAGGAACAATGGATACTGCCGGCACTTCTGTCTAGGTGAAAGCCTCACTTCTGGCTCTCTCTCCAACAACTCAGTGTCCCGCTGAGTCCCTGGTGCCCCCACGAACAGCCGACCCAGTGCTGGTGCTCAGAGCAAGCAGGTCCTTCACCAAAGTCTGGTCGCAGACATGGCCCCCTTAAAAGGAAGGTCTGCAGCTGCTAGCTGCAGCTGTCATAGCCTCTGTCTCACTTAGCCACTGGGGACCGGGCAGTCTCACATCTTTACCCCCTCCCACCTCCAACCATTGCAGGGTGATTTCTTATTTCTCTCCCTAGTTGTAGGGCTTCTGTTCATCTAGACCCCAGGTGACTCTGCTTGCTGACTGCTCCATGTTTCTTTCCATCACAACTTTGATGTGGTCGCAAGAGGGGATGAACAAAGCTTCTATCATCTATGCCACTTCGCCCCTAATTTCCACTGAGCTCTTAATGGAAATCCTACTGATCAGCTGTCAAAAGAACCAGTACTCATCCTGTGGATGAACAAACTGGTTCACGGTTTCATTTCATGTAAAATAACTTGCTCAGCAAGCTGTGTGGGCCTGCCTTATCTGCTCATCAAATCATTCATTCACTTTTCAGATAGGAGCATGGAAGTTAAGAAAGGGCAAAAAAAGGGATGAAACTGTGAACATATGTCCCTCTCCCAGACTGTTTAGAGAATGAAAATGGACAGAAGAAAAAGGAAAACATAAGCAATAAATTAGAAAACAAACTACTGATATTTATAAATTCTAATTTTTGATAACCCGGAAGTAAAATGACAGAACTTAACAGTAAAAAAGACAAGTGGCCAAATTCACAGTATCTGAAAGCCAAAGAATTAGGGCACAGAGGATAATAAGTGACCAGGGAACCCAACTGCAGAGCTAACCACACTCGCACCTCCACGTTGCTCCTGTTGCCCAGACTCTCCTTGCTTCCCTGCCTGTTCCTCCATCTTTTTCTATTTTACCTTAACTCTAAGCAATTCAAGAAATTAGAAGTATATCAAGTAACCTAAAGCAATATACAGATTCAATGCAATCCCTATTCAAATGCCAATGGCATTCCTCTCAGAACTAGAACAACTAATCTTAAAATTTACATGGAACCACAAAAAACCCTGAAT